AATCATTATCATCATCAACAGCCTTTCATGGTCCACTGGTTGGACATAGGCTTCTCCTTAGAAATGAGGTTTTGACCTACTATACTACGCTGGCCAGAGGGGTTGGTTATAAGGTTTGTTTCAAGTTTTCCTTCTCCTTGCAGTGCTGTTATCCTGCAAAGTTTGTAGCCTTAGACGGCTCTTACGACACCCACGGGATGAACAGGGGTTGTGACACTCCGTATTCTCAATCTGTTAACACACAAATATATGCCTTTACATAAATGTATTCGAAGAATTCAACTCGCAAAACACGCTGCGCTCTAAATGGTAGGTTTACTTTACCATTGAAATACTTTAACAGAGGCAGTTAATCCGGACATACCGGCAATATCCAATTTGAGTTACAGGTATGCGACCCTGACCTATCCATATATCTCTTTCGTACCATTGCCTTCCCTTCTTATCTAGCTTTTCTCTCTATATACTACCCGTTTTTAAATCTAAAGTGCCCGCTTGACGGAGATAGAGTTGACCTACATGTCTCTCTCTGGTCGGTCCCTTATGTCCGAGGGTCGTGGTCAGCATCAGGTTTACACCTGTAACGGATGGTGTCTCCTCACCGGTTCCTGTCCAGTACGTCTCTCAAGACCGTGAATAAATTTAGGGACGACGGGTCTTTAATTTGGTCGGTCCACCTTGTTGGTGCACGACCACGCGAACTTTTGCCTTCCGTGTTCCCAACTACAATCAGTCTGTCTAAATTTCCCTCTACATACGTGGGGCTAAATGTATCCAATATGTTGGCAAAATATTGGAGTTTGGAATATAAGCGTGAGAGGTACACTCTTAAATTATCCTGATATGAGAACGCCTGCCTGTCTCGTTGGCGCAGTAGCCTGCATAATTTACACCACTCGCTAAGTAGTTAGTTTACCGCTCGGCACATTCATTCAAAGTTCGGTATCATGCTCAATCCTATGTAATAGTAATAATAAATAAAAGATAATAAGATATATTTTCAAAATTTGAATACCTATTGGAAAAGAATTACATTGGACTTAAGCTTCTTTTCAAGTGAGTTATTAACTTTAGAAATCGCAGCCTTGATTATATATGTAAACCAGCGATCCGCCCCGAACTTCGTACGGGTGCATAGTAGATACTACTAATGTCGTGTCAGTGTGGAGTAATTAATTATGCTATTTTTATGATAGGACTATACTACAGGACATCTTTTTTCTTTTCTTAACAAGCAGCCATATACAGTTATAATACTAATAAATATGTGGCTCTTTGCAATAAACCTATTATTTACTATACTATAGTATAATGTATGTGTGTATAAATAGTGCCAAACAGATGATTTTTAGATATCACGTAAAACAAAATTAACTTCATATCATCATCATCATCAACAGCCTTAATTTGTCCACTGCTGGACATAGGCCCCCTCCTTAGACAGGAGGTTTTGGCCTACTATACCACGATGGCCAAACGGGTTGGTACAGGGTTTGTTTCAAGTTTTCCTTCCCTTGCAGTGCTGTTGTCCTGCGTAGTTTATTTCCTTAGTCGGCTCTTACGACACCCACGAGATGAATAGGGGTATTGACATTCCGTATTCTTAATCCGTCACCACACAGATACTTCATATAATGAAAAGAAAACGAATACATAGCAGTTTAGGTTATATCAATATTGCAACTACAAACTACCTCACTTAATAAAAATAATTTGATTGATTTAAATTAGATTCTAATTGATTATAAACCTTCCTCTTGAATCACTCTCTCTATTGGTGAAAACCGCATTAAAATCCGTTGCTTAGTACAAAAGATCTAAGCCTACAACACAAAAAGCAACTTCATTTTTACTATGTAAAGATGATTATTTATGACAAATGTAAATCAGAGCAACATTCAATAACAGAATATAAATAATGAGTCAGTAGTTGTGAACTGTAGGTCATTGCCGTTTTTGTTGAAATGTTATTGAGGTAAAACTTTTAAACGTTGCAAGTTAAAATAGCTATATTGGGCGCGAACGCTTAAGAGTCAAGGTAATGGACTAGATCACTCCTATGAGTGAAGCCTATGTTTACAATATCATAAGGTACTTAGATTTTTTTTAATTGCATTACTTTGTATGTATATATTCATAATCTAGGTGTTCGGCCTATAGGTTTTAAAATTAACTTTTATCTAATAATGTCAATGTCTCCCTACATTGTTCATGCTACACATAGTAAGAGAAAACTTGAGCAATTTAAATTTATAAGTTCAAAAATTACAGTCAATTTTTTACCAATTTACTTTTAATTAACTCGGTCAAGACAAGTTCCATGAAATTATTGAATGGATGTAATATATAATAATTAAGCTGCCATAACAGACAAGAAGGTAAGCCAACGTGAAAAACGTGCCTTAACAAAGTGAAGTATTGTACTTTGCTAACACAATAGGATAACAGTCTTAGTGGATACTTATGATACCAGGATAGCATAATACAAAAGGAGTTTAAATAACAAAGCGAAAAGTAATCTTAGATTATGTTTTTAATCTGATACAATTAAAGTGCCTATCTATATGGCCTTCGCGTTCAGCGATCTGGACCACGCTTTTTATCGCGAATTAGGAAATAAGAACTTACGTAATACGCGCTGACCGTGAATTTCGCGTTGTCTTTCAATAACACGAAGCTTAGAACATCTGAGGTTACGCCGTTGTGCATTATTTTATATTTATAACTTTAAGAAGATGCATGAGCGTTATGTAATTTTTACGGACTGACTGAACAATATTTTGGGAGGAATAAACTTCTCCTACAATAGATAGTTTTAAAACACTTCTAATTGGATTAAAAATTAATTAAAAACCTCTGCTAAATGACTTAATGATGTAATAATATTCCATGATTATTGACTATATAGTATACCATGGGAGCATCAACAATGTGCACAAATTCACATATCTGTCTCTATTATAATTTAATACTAAAAACAACTACAATTATAAGTCTTCTCCTGTGTAAACTTTAAAACTATGCGATTTTATCTTATCTTCAATTGCAAATACCAGAGCGTATTTATAACATAAAAATTGGAAGGAAAACCAGTCCAAAATTAAGAATACGAATAGAAGATTTTAACCACTATGAAGATAATACGATGTAGAATAATTCAAAACAATAAAAAGGAAATGTAAAGGTATTACCTATACATATCTTCTTAAGGAATTTTACAATTAGTATTGTAAAAATTCAAGAAAAACTGTGTTTTGTTTAAAATTACCTCATTCCTGAATAATGACCGCCTTTTCCTAACTTTTTATTTATGAGATTGTACTGTTATTTACAATAATTACGCACCGCTTGCTTCCTCGTGATAGATGCTAAGTTTAGACGTTGCGTCGTTTTGTTTACACGACAGTCACAGTAGTAAAAACGGAAACAGATTTTTGATATATGTTAAGTTTATAAAAAAGTTTCCGGTTTAGAACTGTGTACGTTATTAAGTTTAAAGGTCGTAGCTCATTAGAGCCACCCGACACCCGACCAGCACTGCCTTGTTTGTTAAAGCAATTTTCTGCTCCTTAATCACAATAGAACTTGGAAGCTCTGGTGCACCTCAATTTACTGTTAAACTATGTTCGTGACTAGCGATTTATTTTTGTGAACTTTTGACAAAAATAAACAATTTTTTTATAACCATTCTTTCCATCATTTCCTCCATATCGCTAAGGATTTCGACCGTCTGACTGACACCAACCATCTTTGAAAATGAGTCGCGTGCGAATAGGTAGAAATACAAACAAAACTGTATGATAGATTTTAATAGAATTCAATTTTTATATACGAGTTGTATAATCTAGCGTGACTCGTGTGAGAATATTAAATGAAAACAAAACAGATAAGGAACATAAATAAGGTAAGTGATACGTCTCGTACAGTTGGTGACTACTGGGAGATCATAACATTGAAAACAATAACAAACTGGGAGCTTCTAAGTATAAAGGGTCAATGGCATTTTATTAATAATAATATAAAAACTTGATACATCTCACATACGACCATGTACTCCTAATCCCCAACTACTCAGAGACTATATCATATTCATCAGACTAAATCTATACTAATATTATAAAGCTGAAGAGTTTGTTTGTTTGTTTGTTTGTTTGTTTGAACGCGCTAATCTCAGGAACTACTGGTCCGATTTGAAAAATTCTTTCAGTGTTAGATAGCCCATTTATCGAGGAAGGCTAAGTTAATATAGATTAGTAGGATTTATGTCTGATGAATATTTCATAGGTTAAGACCTTATTTATTTCTCTAATTTCTGTAAACCTATCACCAGTTCAAAATGAACCCAGTCCATCCAAAGGTTGCCTGGAAGAAATTGCACTAAGCGATAAGGCCGCCCTTTGTACATTACATCTGTTGTTAATTACTTTATAATGTCTGTAAAACCCTGGTGTACAAATAAAGTATTTATCTATCTATCTATCTATCTATAGTACAATAATTTATCTTTGAAAAGTAATAGTAATCAGGAAATACCATAAAATGTACGTAAATTTTTACGTCACCTTGCAAATACTTTAGATGACGCGCTTCTGTTGCGTGACTGTAAACCTGTACGTTTGATGTCATCGGCAGAAAAAATGCCCCGTGACTCAAACAAGTCTAGGTCATCTTGTCGAGTTTGAAGCTGTGCCTTAAAATTTTCTAATTATAGCATAGAATAGTGTGTGTTTACTTCACATCTACTCTATCGTCACGGTGACCGGGTTTGGTGTTGTGATTGGCCCGCACTGAAATCTTCACCAATCGTAACGTCGAACGCGGTCCCCGTCGAAAGTGAGTTGTTGTAAAATAAACTCACACTAAGCCCTCTCATTTCTGCCATCGACGACTCACTTCTTTATCTAAATCCCGTTAGTGTTTTGGATAGCGTGTAAGAATACCTCACCTGAAAAAACTACAAAGACATTACCCGTACTTGAAGTTACCGTAATTGTCCGCAGGCGAGCTGGTCACCGGTGCGGCCCACAGCGTGGTGATGTTGACTCCTCTCAGTGAATGGGACCGTGGACGCTTCGGTTCGCTTTTTATCACGAACTACAAATTGTCCTTTGTACCCTTGGAGAACTCCAGCAACGATGTAAGTACCTATATTTTAAAGGTTCACCTAATAACATATATAATTTTGTCATATTAATTCCTTAGATCTCCATAGGTTATCATTACAACTTACAAAAGGCTTTGAAAGCAAATGTTTTATCATCATAAAAATAGTTATGTATCTAGATAATGCAACTGATCAACTATATAATTCCTACATGAACTACAAATAATTTCATAAATATGATGTTTTAGAACCGTTAATAGTATTGTTGCATTTAATAAAACAGACATACGAGGGGTGATCAATAAGTAATGATAATCAATATGAAACAGAACTATTAGATTAAAAAAAGTATTTTATTTTTCAACATAGTCTCCTTGCAAGTTAATACATTTAGTGTATCTTTTTTCTAAGCCCATGATTCCCTTAGAAAAAAATTCTTTGTCTTGACCCTCCCAAAATGCCTCTACTGCGGCCATCACTTCACTATTGTCCTCAAATTTGTTGCCCCGGAGGTGTTCTTTGAGCCGAGGAAAGAGGTAGAAGTCACTGGGAGCTAGATCTGGCGAATAGGGAGGGTGTTCGAGCAGTTCGAACCCCGTTTCTTCAATGGCAGCCATCGCAACTGCGGCTTTGTGAGCCGGGGCGTTGTCTTGGTGAAACAGCACTCCAGCGCGCAGTTTACCGCGTCTTTTTGACTTAATAGCTTCTCGCAATCTTCTTATTTGGCCTGCGTAGTAAGAGCCTCTTATAGTGGCCCCCTTTTCCAAATATTCCACCATAATAATTCCTTCTGCATCCCAGAAAACAGACGCCATAACCTTTCCCGCTGAACTTGACACTTTGAATTTCTTCGGCGTTGGTGAGGAAGCTCGTTTCCAAGTCATTGATTGTTGTTTGGTTTCGGGATCAAAGTGGTGGATCCAGGTCTCGTCCATGGTCACAAAACGCGACAGAAAAAATTCTTTATCGGCCTGGAACTTTTGAAGATTTACCCTCGAAATGTCGACTCGTTTCTTTTTTTGCTCGTCGGTTAACATTCTCGGTACCCAACGCGCAGAGACCTTTTTCATATGCATTTTTTGAAAATGATTTTTTGAACGCTGCCATAGGAGATCCCTGTGACCTCAGCTACATGCCTTACGGTCACCCTTCGATCGGCCAACACGATATCTTCCACTTTTTTGACGTTTTCTCCAGTAAGGGACGTGGTCCCGCGCGATGTTCATCTTCAGTGGAGGTTCTGCCCAGCTTAAATTCCTTTGCCCAGCGTGCGACTGTGGAATATGGAGGAGCAGACTCCCCCAATGTTTCCTCTAAGTCGCTGTGTATGTCTTTGGTAGACATTTTTTTCAGGCAGAGGTACTTGATGACAGCTCTTATTTCATTTTTCTCCATTTTGATGTTTTCTCTTCGACAGTTCGTATTCAAATGAATGTATCTCCCGGTAATGGTGTCCTATTTATACATTTTTTTTTAAGCTGAAGTAGTGGATATATAAGCAAGCAGAAAAAAAATAATTTGGGTTTTTGTGCGTTCTAGAAATACTCGATTATCATTACTTATTGATCACCCCTCGTATATATTGTTTCTTTTTGTGTTAAAAAATACAACTGCCGCATTAGGAGTATATCTTGTGTCGCGGGGGACTTTACAAACATACATATATATATGTACATATACCAGTCTGTTTTGGACAATCTTAATAGTATACACGAGCCAATATTTTAGTAGCTATTGTGCTTTTGAACAGCATGAAGGTAAAACATAATTAATGTATTTATAAGTTGTATAAAAACAGTCCTGTAAAAAAATCCTTTTAGGAAACGTAAGTTTATATGCGAAGTAGTCTTGGAAGCATCTGTACAAAAATCAGGAAGCTCTAAGCTTGTGCATGTGGCTTTAGGAGCAAACATGTTGTGATGAGTGATTAAGGTAATTCATTCGTACGCGTTGAGATTGTCCGATTTACAGAGGCGCGCGCGGTCAGGTTCGAACCGCTTTCGTTAGCCTATTTCTACTAGCCCAGCCACAGCCTGAAGATCATTTTGCATTCATCAGCACCTGGTACTAGGAAAGCACTCGTCTTCTTCCGATTCTTTTCAACCAACATAACTTCTCAAAGTGAGGCGAAAGATTCGTAAATTATAACTATTAGGGAGGCCAGTTTATCATTGATAACTATTGCGAGGTCGAAACACTGCGCCCACGCAAAGCACTCCATTAAATATATACCTGTTAACTAGTAAACAAAAAGCATGCATGTGATAATTTCTATATCTCTAAAAATAAATTTATTGGTCTCTCATATAAAATTTTATCTTCCACTTTGCCAACTTCAAGGCTTATTTTCACGACAAAAGGTAGCCTATGTCCTTTTCCAAGGTCTTCTTTATCTCTATACAAAAACTGTAATATAATTTATTGTATGTGGTAATGAGTAACACATTCAATACACATTGTATGTTTAATCTTCCATCCCCTCTCTCAAGGAACCGTTCAAAATGTTTGAATAAAACGTATCCATTGTGGACACTTGATAGTAGTATGAACTTATAATAGTATGTACACAAATCATTCATTTGAATCTATTCGTAGGTTCGTATGCATTCAAGATACACACAGAAAAAAAAATTAGAAAGAAATTACAGTTCAAAGTGCTTAGAAGGCAAGAAGCTGCTTAAGTATATTTATACTGTTGACCCTTTGAACATATCAAACCGGTCAGGTTTAAGAATTAAATGTTTTTTAACAGTACCAGTGACTTATTTTGAGATGCTTTTAAATAATTGAGAATTTTAAAAAATCTATATACGAATGAAAGTAACTTATAAGAAAGCAAATGCCTCATTAGCTGTTGGCGACAAAATCACACTTTTGCAAATACTTAATATGAGATTACAATACATACGAAAATGATGATCGTATTGGGCAAGTCACGAGGCCGCAATGTGGCGAGATCATGAAACTTATCACTTCATAAAGTGGTAACTATTTTATGAAAGGAGGTTTCATAAAACCTCCTTTCTAAGGAGAGGTCTATGTCCAGCAGTGGACTAGTATAGGCTGTTGATGATTAACTATTTTATGAAATGTCTCTAGTTCATGATGTAGCCAGTTGATGTTATTCGATGAATGTTGAAAATTTTAATATTCGTCAAAGAATTTCTTAAAATGTTGATGACTGAACTGATTTGTTTGTTGATGATAAATCAATTCACGTGTGCCCGTAATGTAGAATATCTATGATATAAAGGTTTTAATAAAAAAAAACAAACAAAGAAATTAAATAGCAGCAATTCAGCCTACTTTCGCGTTTAACAGAATTAATAAATTGGCCGCCGCAATGAACATCGCAAAACCAAACGATAACAGCGTTACCATGGAACTTGATACTGTTTTCAATTATCTTCACAAAGTGTAAAACAAAGTCGCCTCCCACCTTCTGTATGCTTAGATCTTTCAATGAATATCTTAGAAGATATTAGAGATTTAAAATGCGGGGGCAGAGGGGCCGTCAGGAGGCACGACCACCGCGGGCGCCAGCGGCCGGTGGGCGTAGCGCTTGCCGTAGTAATCTCTAAAGAAAACATATTTGTATATAAGCTGTATAAGAAGACACCATATCAGTATCTATATGCATTGCACCTGTTCGAAGCCAGGGTGGGACGCTAGTATATTCATATATACTAGCGTCAAACATCAGTGTTTGACGATATTATGAAATGATCAACTGTACGATTCACCCATTATAGCGACCCAACGAGGTAACAATTGTAATAGAGTAAATGAAATGAATAAAAGATGAGCAATCTTTACGTGGCACTGTTGTTTATACTCTTCCGTGAAACTTTGTATGTTTTAAACACACAAATATCGTATATCGACGACCTTTACACACTAAAACTTGTGTCAATATTTTGTACATCCATTTATAAAATGCAGCTTTAGTAACGTTTGCAGGCGGCAAACAATTATGTAAATTTAAATTCCACAGCATTTTAAATATAATGTCACATCGACGGACCTGTTGGTCTAGTGGTTATTGACCCTGACTGTTAAGCCTCCGGTTCCGGCTTCGGTCCTGGGTTCGATTCCTACTTAGACTAAATAATTGTATGATTAGCATCATTGATTTGTGTCTGGGTGTAATTTATCTATAATATATATGTATTTAAATATATGAGGATGTTTATCAGCAGTCTGGTTACCATAGGACAAGTTCTGCTTAGTTTGGGATCACTGATGACTCATGTCTGAGATTTGTGAGGTAATTACATTAAGTTTATAATTCTTCTTAATAATGTTCTTAAGCTATGTATATGTATTAATGTTTATTAATATTTTTCACCTAGGAGTATTGTCAAAGAAATTTCCTTCTGGGCGCCTTCGATGTACCTCTTACCGGCGTAGGCGCAGTATGGCTCACGGACGGGGGGCCGTCTCGCCGGAGACGACTCATGCCATACGGCGAAGTACCGGGGAAGGTTAAAGGACTTCAAGTTATATGTAAGGTATGTATGTTAAAGTACATTCATTTTACAGAACACCACATTAAATGTTCTTATTGTTTTGATATCTTCGAATGAACATTCAACAGAAATGCTATAGTAATTTATACAAAAATGTACGGCATCTATCGTTCTGACGTTTAATAAAAATATATTAATTTGACTATCCGTGTGGTGACGGATTAAGAATACGGAGTGTCCCGTGGGTGTCGTAAGAGCCGACTAAGGGAGCAAACTACTTAGAACAACAGCACTGCAAAGAGAAGGAAAACTTGACACAAACCCTTTACAAACCCGTCTGGCCAGCGTGGTATAGTGGGCCAAAACTTTCTAAGGAGAGGCCTATGTCCAGTAGTGAACTATTAAAGGCTGGATGATGATGATGATGAATTTGACTAGACACTCATCTATCCAATTATAGCCAATTCTATATACAATAAAGATAGGTAAATATAAAGTAAACTCCTCTGACCTGCCTTGATTTAAATTATTGAATTAGACAATGCCGGCAGGTACGCATTATGCCCTACCCGTTATCTTAATTGAAGAGTATATCTACAATTCTATTTATTATTAACTAGCTTTGTCCCCGGCTCCACCCTCGTATATGTAGGTTATGGCGGTGAAAAGTAACTTATGCTACTCGTTGATAATTTAGGGGTGATATATGATTTTTTTAAATCGATTTAGCGGTTCTAGTGTGAAAGCGTAACAAACAAACAAACACTTTCACATTTTACTATAAGTATGGATGATATTCAGGTATATGGGTGCTTTGATAAACATTAATAAATTTGATGGTTGACATGCATATTTCAAATCGCCTTAACCTTTTTGTATTATGGGTAGTGCAAATAATTGTTGACCTCACCTTTCCGCCATTGTTCAACGAGACAAAACCCATCAGTCTCATAATGTGCAATATATCACTGTGCGCTTTTCAAGAAACTTTTTACTTCGCACGACCAACCTGTAGTCCAAATTGTCGCCTGCGGAATTGCCGGACTGATCATCAAATCTTTTAAAAAAAGAGCGTATTTTCACCACAAAAGCCGACAACGCATTTTGGCTTTTGTGTTTCAGGTGTCTTTGTGCGGCGGTAGTCCCTTACCATGAGATGACATGACTGTCGTAATCAAATGTATCATTCTACAGAAACCTGTTACTAACCTGTTGTTTTTTTCGTCATTTCACCTTTTTTTTTTCCGTGCGGAAATCCCCTCGGATACCGACAGGTGGCATGTCGGACTCGAACCGACTAAAACCGCACGCCGTCTCGGGTACTAATAGCCGGGGAACCAGGTATACCCTAAAAAGGAAGTCCCTGGTGCCCCGACATACCTCGAGCCATCTACAGACGAGTAGACCCCCCCCCCCCCCCCCCCTCAGTGTGGGAATTCGTCATTTCACCTAACGTTAAACAGTAATACTAACATTATCAAAATATGGTATATTTGTTTACATAAGATACGTGGTACATTCCTGCAGATGTGTATATGAATCTGTTTCGATTCGTTATCTAATCAGATAAGCGCGCGTGACTAACTCCTATGTGTATCACGTGCTCGGTGTATCTGTGCGCAATACAGAAATATTTAAATGTATCTGGAAGCGCCATTGTGTCCTGCCAAATTGAGCAAAATACAAACAAAGGCACGGCCGTATCTGCAATTGCTGTAAAAAGATTCATCAAATGCTCAATGTAATTAATAATTTAAAAAAAAAATAGGTACCCCATTTTTTGGGCAACTTTTATAATATAATTAAAAACAAAAATAGTCTATAAATACTATGGTAACCAGACTACGCATTTTTTGCGTTGTACGCTTAGATCTTTTAAATTAAGCATCGGATTTAAATGCGGTTTTCACCAATAGAGAGAGTGATTCAAGAGGAAGGTTTATATGTATAACACATGCATATTATAGTAGAAAAAATCAAAAATAAATGTGAAAGTGAGTTCGTTTGTTTGTTGCGCTTTCATGTCTAAACCACTAAACCGTTTTAAAAAAATATTTCGACAATGGAAAGCTACATTATCAGCGAGTAACATGAGCTACTTTTACCACAATAACCGACATAAACGCGGGCGGAGTCACATAAAGAATTATCGTCTGTGCCGATAACATGAGTTCCATATTTACTATACTGCTGGCAATGTAGCAGAATCTTTTTAGTACGCCAGTAAGGGGAAGTACACCACTAAACATAAAAAACAGAATTTCCAAATAAGTTCTAAAGTTCAAACAGAGTCCGGAGATAAGAAACATTTGAAAAAATCAATTGAATTGACCACAGATAGCGTAGTATAGTGTTGCACGTAAAAAAACTTTTAAAAATGTAATATTATTGTAAGTTGTATTAAGTTACTAATTTATATTAAGTTGTATGCTGTGTTTTATTACAGAATAAAGTTTATTTTATTATTTATTTATTTATCTGAAAATATTAGATATCACACATCATATTCTAAAAGTGCGCTGACTTACCTACTCACTAGTATTGTGACTTATATGCATTATATGTATGTATTTACAAAAAAAGTATAAAAGTATTTTAACAGTCAATCTAGTTTACATAGTACAAACTCTGCTTAGTTTGAAACTAGATAGCGTTGTGTGTTAGATGTCTGTAAATATAATATAAAAAAAAAACCTTTATTTTCCAGAATATGAAGGTCCTGACATTCAGCTTCGCAAACTCTCCAATCGACAACGGTAGAAAGATCGCTCTAGCACTAATGCATCACGCATTTCCGAAACGCCACGACTTACTCTTTGCCTTCGAATATAGAGAACCATACTACCCCACTCTCCCTTCTGACATGAACATGTTCCAACGAACAGGAGATTGGAAAAGAGAATTAGAAAGATGTGAATGTCCCCATTGGAGAATAACGTGTATAAATGGAACGTCAGACGCTTTTATGTTGACTGCAGGGGAGACTTTAATTGTGCCCAGTTCAGTGTTAGATTATAATCTCATGGAATCGGCGAGACACTTTCGGTCAGGGAGGGTACCTATATGGGTTTGGGGGAGGGCAGAAGGTGCAGCCTTGTTGAGAAGTGGGGAGCTATTGCCGACGGAACAGTCATCTACGGCGGAAAGTGTTTTATTAGAACAGGTAGGTCTAAAGTTCATAACTTTGTTTTAATGCATTATTGTAAGGGTAAATTAGTATAATATATTAAATGAAGGATACATACACACTAGCTGACCCGGCAAACGTTGTTTTGCCAAAAAAAAAATTTAGGGATGGGTCACCCTTACCATTTAGGGGTATGAAAAATAGATGTTGGCCGATTCACAGACCTACCCGATGTGCACACAAAATTTCATGAGAATCGGTCAAGCCGTTTCGGAGGAGCACGGGAACGAACATTGTGACACGAGAATTTTATATATAAGATATATTTTTCACGCCTATACATTCGAAACTAAAAAAAAGGTTACTTATTTTTAAAAATCATCCTTAAAAAGGGGCGCAAGTTTGTATGGGCTCTATGTTTTTTTTTTTAATTATATTATTGTTATAAACTAGGGAGAGAATTTGTAAGTTGTCTAATGATCAAATCTGTATGATTTTTCTGAATTTTTAAGCTATTGCATAGCTTCTATCGCAAATTTCTAAAGGGTTTTCCTGAGATAATTATTTAATACTAAGTTTATTAATACTAAGTTGATAAAAAATGCTATGCAATAGCGCAGTCCCCTAGTGCCACTTTTTTATTAATAATATTTTTTAGTAGTCATTACTCTATTTGATACCGAAAAGCTACATATTTATTAAGATTACAACAAATGGTGCATTTTACATAAGTACCAGGAGAACATAACTAAACAAGAGCTCTCAATCTGCAGTACTATTTTAATAAAGTGAACCTTTTTTTTTCTAAAATACATTTTTATTTTGCAGGTGCGCCGTTCACATCCAAAACTTACGCCTCCCCATGTCATATATCTATGTGGGAACACGTATACAAACACAGGTGGACCAGGGATTCTACCACCACTAGCTACTTTACAAACTTCATATAAGAAACTGGCCGATCTGTGTACGCCAACAACTCTTGGAGGGTTTTGGGTAAGCATTTAGTAGAGCATATTTACCGATAGTTATCGTATTTTTTACAGCAAACGAGCAGAATGGTCACCTGCCTGATGGTAAGTGAGGACACCTCAGAATTAGGGTGAGAAGGGAAATTTGGCCTCCTGGAACCTCACTCATCACTCACTTGGTGAAAAGCAATAAAAGAAATGATCTCTATGAAAATCCGTGGTATAACTCCTCTCGAGTCGGCCATATTATGTGCCAAAGCATGGCTTTCCCACAGTAAACTATGTTTTACGGTTGCCATAACAATAATTCACACTAGCGGTCCGCCAATTAACTTATCACTGCCTCGGTGGTGCAGTAGTAGCGTATACGACTGCTGTGCTTAAGTCTCTAGTTTGATTCCAGACCATATGTTTATATGATCTGCAAAAATTTGTTTCGGGGTTTCGGTGTTTTCTATGTATAATATGTAAATATTTACAAAAAAGTAAGTATTCTTATTAGTCAATGGTATATTTCATAGTACAAGGTCTGCTTAGTTTGAAACTAGATGGCGTTATGTGTCATTATTTAACTACAGGACCTATTTAATTGTTGGTTACTCATTAAGGTATTTGTTTTGGTCACGGAGAACATGTTTTCTAACAACACAGGGTTTTACCGCAAAATTATTATGCTGAGGCTAAAATTCTAGCTATAATTTTTAATAGTAAAACCTTTTATCATTTTTCCATTAATAAATGAGTGTTGTCTTGTAATATGTCTATGTATGAATTTGTAATACCTGATAGCGAATATTTCAGAGTTTGCGGTTTGTGGTTAACTAAAACATGTTTAGAAGGTTATTACAACTTTACTATAGTATTATTAACTACTTTTATAAATTTAATAGCTGACCCGGCAAACGTTGTTTTTCTATATAAATTATTTTTGTGAATATTTTGGTAGTTAAATAAAAACGAACTTATTGGAAGTATGTGGGGATAGGGTCTATGACTGAAAGAGGAATGGATCGCTGTGGCCGATGACGGCCTATAAAAATGCCAAAACTCTTACCATTCATTTTCTTAATTGTCCGTGTGGTGACGGATTAAGAATGAGTGTCACCGCCCCTATTCATCCCTTGGGTGCCGTGAGAGCCGACTAAGCAGCACTGCTAAGAGAAGGAAAACTTGACACAAACCCTATTCCAACCCGTCTGGCCAGCGTGGTATAATAGGCCAAACCTCCTTTCCAAGGAGAGGCCTATGTCCAACAGTGGACTATTAAAAGCTGTTGATGATGATGAACGATTCATTTTCTTCATTTAATGTACTCTATAAACTTAACTGACATATACCCTTACCACCTAGGGGTATAAAAAATAGCTTACGACCTATTCTTAGACCTACCAATATACACAAAAAAAACATAAAAATCGTTCAAGCCGTTTCGGTGTAGTTTGATAACAAATACTGTGACACGAGATTTTTATATATTAGATTAAATGTTGTTGGATTTAAATCATCCAATTATGTTAAGAGGAACCTTTAAATGCCAATCAAAATTATTTGTCAAAAATTTCCTTCCTTTAAACATGTAGTTGAATATTATAGTACGTGAGAGTGACTTTTCAAAGGTTTAGTAATATTTGTGTTGTTTCAGATACAAGACTCCCAATACTACTCCATATTAGATTCGAGTAAGTGGTTGCGGTACGTCGCCAATTGCATCGCGTTCGCCGACGAAGCTGCGCAACATCTCGGCAACAACGTCACGGTCGTCTTGCAAGAAGGTTAGCCGCTAGATTTAGTTCGCACTTATGTGTTCTTTTATGTTAATATTAAAAAGTGAGTTATATCTACTTAAGGGGCGTCCATTAATTACGTGAGGCGCTCGGGGGAACCTCATCCAATCTTACTTTAGGCTTACTTACTTACTTTTATCCGCAAGAAACAGAGTAAAATTACGAGTAAACTGGGTTAACTTAAGTAAAACATGTTCCTCCACGGAAATATTGCCAAGTCTTATACAATAACATTTATCATGGTATTGCGAGTACCGCGAAGTTGCACAAGTTCACGCGCCACCGCCAGCTAAAAATCTCCCGTGAGATTGGGGGATGGGGGTAAGGGTTGAATCAAATCTCACGACATCTCACCAGGAAGGGAGGGGGGGACGCCCCCTTAGGATATTCTTAATTTACTGTATTTTACAAGGTGTCTCAAAAGAAAGTTTATATTTAGTAGATCGATTAAAAAAAAAGTAAGCAGTGTATCGAAAAAATGTTTATTAATTATTAAAGTACACAATTTGGGAATTTATTTCTTAAAAATACTATCGTTCAAATGTAGACCCTCGCGTTCGCAGCACTCATTTAATCGAACAGTAAAATTACTTATGACGGCTCGGCAGGTGAACTCAGTGATGGCTGCCATTTCGTGACGGATATTTTCTTTCAAATGCGCCAGAGAAGTCGGTTTACTCGCGTAAACTTTAGATTTAAGATAACCCCATAGGAAAAAGTCCATAGGGCTTAAATCAGGACTGCGTGGAGGCCAATTTATGTCACCTCTCCTGGAGATCAATTTTCTCGTGGCAGAGACGTATTGGACGTGTGTGACGTTGCTCCGTCTTGCTGGAACCATGTTCTTTGGTTATATCCAGGAAAGGTTTGCAGTTCAGGCGCCAAGAAGTCGTCTAACATCTCCACGTAACGCTCTGAATTCACTGTAACTGCACGCCCCCTTTCGTCTTCAAAAAAGTAAGGGCCGATAATTCCTCGCGCCGACATCGCAGCCCATACGGTCACTTTAGGCGAATGAAGGGGTTTCTGGTGTTTGCGTTTGGATTCATTGCACTCCAGTAGCGTGAAACATGAAAATGAGCTTCATCCGAAAACAAGATGTTGGTAAATGTTAAAAAGCGCTCAATCGCCTGATTTACGAAATCAAGCCTCTGACTGGTATCTTGGGGCTTTAATTCTTGCACCAATTGAATTTTGTAGGGGTGCAGCTTTAGGTCTTTGTGCAAAATGCGGTGTAATGATGATCTATGCACATTTAAAGCACTTGCGCGCTTCCGAATTGAAAGGTTCGGGGCGTCACGAACAGACTGATTAACACTCTCCACGTTTTCTACCGTTCTTGATGACCTTGGTCGCCCGGATTTTGGTTTTTCCAGCGTTGTACCGGTCTCTTCAAACTTTTTGACCCATTTTCGAATAAGAGGAATGCTTGGCGCATCATTTAAATGGCGAAAACCTCGAACACTACAGAACCTTCTACGCGCTACAGTCGCCGAATCACCGTTTTTGTAAAACTCTCTCACGCACAACGCACGGTCTGCTCCCGAGAAATGCTCCATAGCGACTGAATTCCCAAGAGCCAGGCTACCGATTGACATAGCCCCCGCGCCCCTCGGACTCGTAACGTTCACACAGTAAGCTAAATAAATATAAACTTTCTTTTGAGACACCTTGTATATAACTGTATCTCTGTTTACTGAAGACATCTGATGGCAGATTAATTGCTGCGGTAGGGGATAGGTTGGCGGCCAGATCTCACCATAAGTGTGATCGCGCCGCAACATTGAGTGATAGACACGGGGAAACCTCAGGCTTTCCCTAACTAGGCCCTACTAGTTAGGTACCGGCGTTGGTCTAGGGCCCACCTGAAATTTCATGGCTAAGGTCCTCCCTAGAGTAGCGCGCCTAAGGCCGGCCGTCTGGGTGGTTTTTAGTGGAAACACCACATCCGAAGGGATTTTCCACCCCGTCACCAAAAAAGAAGGGTTATAATTATTAGAATGTATGTTATAGGTGACGGAGTAGACTACTGCGCTGTGGTGTCGTGTCTGACACAATTGCTAGTAGATCCACACTTCAGGACGATCTCGGGCTTCCAGTCGCTCATACAGAAAGAGTGGGTCGCCCTCGGACACCCATTCTGTGATAGGTCAGTGATGTTTTAATTTTATTTATTTTAACTTAATATAATAAGGCTTTTATTTATACAGTAAATCTGTACAAAGACGTGATTTTTTTTTTAAATTCCGTCATATAAACTCATTTTTTATTGAATCTTTCATAATTAATACTTATTTTTAATCAATTTACATAATATTTTATTTTTTAATCTTTCTCATTTAACCCATAGTCAGCCGATACAAAAATTAATTTTATAAATGAAGTTGTGTGTAAATGAAATGTTATTATATTCCAGGTTCGGTCTTCCCCGTCCCGGCAACCCAAAGGAGTTGACCCCGAAGGACGCGACGACGGCGCAGATAGCGCCGGTGTTCCTGCTGTACCTGGACAGCGTGTGGCAGCTCCTGCAGCAGTTCCCGGCACACTTCCAGTTCAGCGAGACCTACCTCACCACCCTGTGGGACTGTGCACACAACCACATATTTGATACTTTCCTGTTCAATTGCGCAAGGGACAGAGAGTTGGCTGTGACTAGGGTATGTTTTCCTAAAGTTATACCTTTAGATATAAGACTTAGTAGAATGTTTACGAAGAATATTTTTACTTTTAATAGTGGGCCAGCTCGATCACAGTGATACCACGGTCTAACAGAAAAGTAGTGTTAAGAAATCCTTTAGTTGTTTTTCACCGATTGAGTGAGGCTCCTCCCCTGGATTATGGGGTGGGGGACTTAAAGGGCGGTAATTTACTTGTGACGGCGGTAGTTACTTACCATTAGGTGATTCTTTTATTTCTTAAAAAAACAATAACAAACTTTACGAGCCATAATAACAACCGACAAAATAAATTACATGAATTTTGTTGCTTTAAATGTTTATAAGCCTTGCTTTGTTTTCAGAACTTCGTCCAGAGGCCTGTATGGGACTGGGGCGAGCAGTTCTCAGAGCAAGACAAGGCGTTGTTCTATAACCCGCTGTTCATGGGAGTCAAACCTGCTCTACCGTCGCAAAGGCTGTGTAAGTTTTTACAAGGGTTTCTTTAAAATAATTGTTATTTATTAATGTCTAGTATAAACAAGATAGAGGTTATTGTGCCGATTACTCTTGTGTCACAATTAGGTAAACCTGTTCTTGAAAGATTCTTGTAATAGTTTGGCTGTGGTGTAGAAAGACATCGTTGATATTTGATTTTTAAAAGAATTTCAACGAAAAATTTGTATTAAAATTGAACTTATTGTGGAGCGTTCATAAGTAAAACGAACTATGAAGAGAGCCTTGCCTCGTTGAGAAAAAAATATACATTGACCCAGAGGGGCACAGTTTAAAATATTATTTTGTCCTCTATCAGTATCACTTTAATATTGTACTAAATTTTGACTTTATGAAAATAATCTAAATCGTTGTAAATGATTTAGAAAATATACTGTAGGGACGGATTAAAATAAAAATAAAAACTCTCCCTAAGAAAAGATGAATCTGAATGTGTGTGTGTTCGCGTCCAGCCCTGAGCCCGCAGGGGGGTGGGGGCGGCGCGGAGCCGGCGCGGCTGAGGCCGGCCTCGAGCGTGGCGGCGCTGGAGCTGTGGGCGCAGTGCTACGAGCGCTGGCTGCTGCCGCTCGACGCGCGCGGCGCGGGACACGTGCAGCTCCACGTGCACAACTACAGCGTGCGCGCTGAGGTACCCGCACCACTCTAATGAACATCTTTCTTGACGACTCCTCATCTTAATTTATTTACAGCTACATGCGAAAAAAATTAAATGACTTTGTTCTAAATATGTTAATATTTTTTTAGAGTATGTTTCAATAAAAGGATAGTTTAATTTATGAGATAAATGCTTGTGTCCGATCTTTCAAAAGCTTTTGATTAATGTTACCATACCATATGAAGTATTACATATTGTAATATAATAAAGATCAGTTACTGTATGCAATAAACGACTGCATCAAAAGATATCTTAAACTACCCTCGATCCAGATGGCTAATACCTCGGCGGGAACAACCTGTCGACCGTCTTATAGCGAATGGGTACCACAAGGACCTACTTTAGGTCCTTCCTTTATAAATTTAAATATTTACCAATGGACACGAAAAAAATGAAAACGTTAATCGATTACATTATGGTTATAATAATTATCAACAAGGTAAATAAACTGTTTTACCTTTACCGATTACCTTTTGAGTTGAAAATTTGACAGAAAATGCTTTCCCTCGCTCAGAATTTAAAACCTATATTTACAGATACAGCAGTTAAATGAGAAGCTGACGTCTTTGTCGATACTGTCTCGACGTCAGTCCAATAGCGACGAGTCCGCTGCGCCCCGACGACGGAACGTGTCGCGGTTCTTCCCCTTCAGCCTCAACCGGTCTGACGTCATCGCCGCCAACCTCGACTCCATGCAAGTCAGCCTTATAGACGCTAGTCAACTCGTCGAGTCACAGTCCTTACTCAACGCACCCGACTAATGAACTAAACTAGACCTTACGCCGAAGTATTTGGATAGGTCAAAAATGATGTAAAAATGCTAGTATATTAAAAGATGTAGAACGTATTTCGTCACAATAAGGTCTTGTTTAAGGAGTTATTCTCATTGATCGAGGACGAATTTAGGCTGAATTATAAAAGTTAACCTTTATAAATATCGGTTACTTTGACCCCCGATAGCGTGACGTCATTATGAGCTAGTCCATAGTTACGTAGAAATAATGAGAATTGATTCCTAAATCTTCAGATGATTATGGACCTTATTCTAAAGTCAATAAGTCGCAAGTTTTTTTATTCTCGTTATATGTAATTAAGCGAGAAATTGTTGTTTGTAAATGTTTCAGATTTATCGCTTAAAGTGTACATATTTAGCGCAACTGTGTGTTCATTATTGGTCTCAAATGTACAGATACTGTACCATTGTTAAAACTTATAGAATTGAGTCGTAACAGAGGCCTTAGTCTCCAGGAATTGACTGCGATAGACTGACTACCAGTGTTGTAGAAAGAAAATTATAAGAAATATAAGTATGACAGTGGCGTAATTCAGAGGCCAACTGAACGAATTTTGAGGGAAGTTTCACAATTCATGCCCAAATATTTTATATCATGACTAACTTGAACCAGGCTTTACGGTATTTTAAGTCGTTCACAAATAAGTAATGATAGTTATCTTGGTTTTTTAACAGTCACCGTGGCGAAAGCAATGATCTATAGTAAACATAACGATTGCTTTAGAATGAGACTGCGTAAAAATAATCCAATAATGATTTCTGTATGTGGTATGTTGTATCTCCGGCCAATGTAAAACAAAACTTCGAGACATGTTTTGCCTCTTTACGAACGTTTTCAAAATATTTGAAAGGAAGTAGCAAACCTTTTCGCTGTTGTCGAACACTAACCTCTATTGTCGAGCCACTAGCATCTTAAATCCTTTGCATTTTGGAAAAGAACCTTTTTTGGTGCCTTGTCATTATTTTTATAGGGTTAAAGCCTCTTAAAGGTTAGGAATGGGTTTATGTCTGTCACTTAACCCCAAATCTCTCCGAGACGAATAATGGACACAGTGTAGTGTTTACTTAGAACAAGTTATATAACGAACAAGGCTAACGTCCCCGCAGCCATCATGGAGTATTAGGTAAATTAGATTTAATATATTCATCTTACATTAAAACGTACATAATAAATAAGTGTATGTATATATATATGTATGTCTCTAAAAACTTTATTTTTATAAGTTCCCTGTAACAGGAATTGATAAACAAAAATGTATATTCCATTTTAATTATTAATAGGTATATTTTTCTAGTTGTCCTGGTATGGTGTGACCAGTCTGATTGTATGAGGCATTCTTTACTTTTTATGCTATTGTTTTGGACGAAAGCTGTACGCCTAGTATCACAAACTCTATAAGTTTTCTTTTAAAGTACCAGGAACACAGTTTAATGTAAGAAGTAAACGAGTATCTCTCGTATTAATTGACACTTATTTAAAACGTACGTGTGTGTGTGTTTTACAAACGCGTCATTGTACTAGGGGCACACACACATGTATGAAGTGCAGTTGTGCAGTTATTTATTTCCAAAAAGAAAGAAAAAACTTAACAACGTTCTCACTCCAATTTGCAGATATTTATCGAGTTATAAATTAAAATATATGTTTTCCTCGCGGCTTTGTTCCAATACCCTTATTAACTGAGCTTATTTTAGTAAATACACAATTAAAAATAGATATTTTTGTTACCTGTTTTTGTTGTTGTATGTTAACATAAGTAGCACCATATTTAATTTAGTTTCCTCAGGAAAAAAGTAATAATCATCGTAACAAAATCTAAAATGTGACTAATCGTTAAAACAGTTGTAATACCATCCTTTTAAATATTATTTATAATTATTTACATGAATGGGTCAGACAGGTAGCTAAGTAGAATTATTCGTCAAAAGTTTAAAAAAGTTCTTCATCAGATTGTTGAAAGCAAGGAAAGTCCAATCATGAGTTATTAAATGATTGAATAATGTGTTGCGTCTTATTAAATTGATAATGTTTGCATTTTGGTCCTCCAAACTAACTGTCTGAACAGTCTACAAATTTGTTATATAACTGAATAATTAGTTAAAACTGTATCTCTACTTATTTTAAGACTTTTTGTCATTATTTCTCCAGTCAGGACGGTCACCTCAAAAGGAAGTATACATGAACAAAGTTCAGTAAAAATACTTGTTTTTGTGGCTGACTGTATAAAATGGAAACAGCTATAATAATAAAAATACAGAAATTATAATATCGTTGTTTAAAAAAGTGTACAATTCTCAAAAAGTCCACGTTTTAGTAAAAAGGCGGCTTATCTCAAAGAACAAAACAAACGAGATAGAACTTGATAAAACTAGATTGGTTAATGATTCGTTTATAATCTATGGATTTATTGTTATTGAATATTATACGTTTTATCTGATAAATATGATATATAAAGTAATGCATCTTCATAAATACTTGTTGCGTCACACCATTGGATATGATAAATTTGTTAATACGTTTACACAAGCAAGGTCGAGCTACCACCACCACCATATTATACCACCATATTATACGTGGGGCATACTGAAAGTCTCTGGATACAATAAAAGACTGAAAAAACAATTATAACTCTTTGAGAACATGTTACTCTTAATTTGCGAGACTGTCATTTGTTTTTTCATTGTGACCTCTTTTCGAAAATTGTATGTGGCTATCAAAATGAATTTAAGTCGTGAACTTTTTCGTTCAATGTTTTTTTTATGATTTTCGTTGTCTCTTAAGTCAACGAGAGTTGCCAGAGTCTTCAGTTAGCATTTGGTGATGAAGCACCATGTTGCAGCTCTGTGTATTAGTGGTTTGGAGAATTTAGACGTGGACGTATGAAGGTCGACCGGCTACTGCGGTTACAGACTAATATTGACACCGTACGACAATTTATTAAAACTGTCAAAAAAATTAGTTGCCAGCAAATTCGTGCTTTATTAGGCATTGGAATGAGCCAAGTGCAAAACATTTTACATATGCATCTGAAGGTTCGGAAGCTTTGCACTCGATGGATACCGCATATCTTAACGGAACACCAGAAACGACTGAGTGTGCCGTGGTGCCGTAAAATTATAAAAAACTTTAACGCAGGACAGTCATCGGCTGTCTATAATATCGTGCCAGGTGAAGAAACTTGGGTACTGCTTTGTACCGAAAGAAAAAGCCAATCGGCAAAGTGGGTCTTTCCTATTAAAGATTTGCCGACGAAAGTTAAAAAAAGTCGAAGCATTGGTAAAAAAATTGTTGCTTCCTTTTTTTGCAAATCAGGACATTACACTACAGTATCGCTTGAAGATAACAGGACAGTGTCTGCAAATTGGTACGTCAACACTTCTTTGCCCAGAGTCTAAGAAAAAGTTCGCGATAAGCGTCCTCGAAGCAATGTCCTCCTTCACCACGATAACGCATTCTCACATTCCGCTAAGGTAACAGAAGTCTATTTGAAGGCTCCAAATGTGAAACTGATGACGCATCCACCTTATAGCCCAGCTTTGCACCCTGAGACTTCTATTTGTTTCCAAAAATTAAAGACAAACTTAGAGGCACACGTTTTACGAGCCCTAAATCGGCGGTGAATGCGTTCCATAAAGCCATTGAAGAGGTCCCTAAAGAAGACTGGTCCAACTGCTTTGTACAGTGATTTCAGCGAATGCAAAAATGCATTAATTGCGAAGGAATATACGTTGAAAAAAAATGTATCGTAAGTCTAATATCTAGTCTTATTTGTCAGAATCCAGAAACTTTCATTATGCTCTAAGTATATGTACAGTACAGCACATTAATATGTCGTCATGTTTGATAATAGTGATACACTTTACTGTTGCTGACTGTACGTACTTTAGACGTATTGGAACCAAATTTTACTTATAATAATTGTTGTAAATATGGCAGCTACACGCTTCTCTAGTGTGATTTTTGCTATTCACGAACGAGCGTTACCATCATTCTAGAAAATTCGGTGTAAATATATACATATATATTTTCACGAAAAATAATTAATCTTGTTTCCTTGTTGTTCAAATGATATACTAATAAAAATATTAACGCGTTCGTGGATTGTAAAAGGAATTAAATTGTTATTATTTTAATATTTATTTCCCTGTAATTGTAATTATTGTTTAATTATCGTACAGCTATTAGTATCGAACTGATATCGTTACATGCTATATTCATTTCAATCCGTATTTTATTTTAACTAATACAGTGAAACTTGGTTAAGTGGGACCTGGATAAGTGAGAAACCTCCATAACTGGAACTCATGCTGAGGTCCCAACACTTTGGCACTGAATTACCTCTATTAGTGGGACGACGCAAAACCTGTATATCTGGGATTCGTTCTTTCGATTTCATCGTCATAGTTGCCTCTATAACTGAGATAACAAGTGAATTTTATATGCATTAACCTCTGTAACTGAGATAACATCGTTTTGTTTGTTTACTTACTTATTCTTATTCTATTCGCAAATGCCGCACTTAACTAATTTTAAGCCTCAATGATCTTCAGTTTTAGTTTTGCTGATACACGATAGTAAATCATACGATTGTTTATTTGAAAAATGCCGAAACGAAGACTCGAATCGTTATCAGTACGCGAAAAACTGAACCTTACTATTATTAACTTTATTATCTTTTTTTTGATAATATAGGAAGCCTCTTTAAATGAGACATATATTTAATTAAACCTAGATATCTGAGACACTGAGTAAGTGGAATACCTCTATAAGTGAGAAAAATTTGCAGGTCCCTTGATGTCTCACTTAACCAGGTTTCACTGTATTAGTGAATAGATACGGTCGGTCGGTTGAATACAATGTATTCTGTTTATTGTCTCTCCGGGCTAACATTGCGTGGAGCTTTATTGATATTGTAGGTTTTATTAAACCAGCTGACTCCTACATCCTTTTTTTCGTCTTGCACAGCT